GGAAATTAAGAAGCTGAAAACTAATGCATCATCATCTAAATTTTCGTAAAAAGATCATTGGAACCATAAGTTCGAAATATAATTCATTTAGATGCATTTATTGATTAATGAGATCGATAATATCTCATACATTAATTTTAAATGCTCATACTCGAATTAACATCCTAGAGGACGATAAATTAATATGATATTTGATGGCACACTTAAAATGTGATGATATTTGATTCTAATATAAAAATCTCCAAATGAAAATGGAGCAATTAGCAAAGATGGTCCTGTTAAGGAAGTTTATACTCTTGATGAGTATTTATACATAACAATTATAAAACCCAGATGTTCAGGTACTCGATATGTTGAAAATTGAGATATCTTAATAAGTTAGGTTATTATGGTAAAAGAAAAGAAAAGAAAAAGTTCTCGACAACACATTTGTACATGATGTATCGCTTCGCATTATGAATAGCGAGGATATCGAAATAAAATTATTGAAGTATATCGATCGAAGTAATGATTGGTCATATAAAATGTCGCAATCATACTAAAATTGAATTTACTAGAGAAACATGAAGTTTCTAGATGCGATCCTAGTAAAATTGAAATTATTAAAGAAACCTGAAATTTCTAGATCTATAGTCTTAACATTTAAAAGTGCATACTTTTGCGAAATGAAAATAGAAAGAGTAAAGTTGTAATATGAAATGTATGACTCTTTAGATAATGAACTTTGCGAATACTTCTATATAGAGATAGGTTATCATGTGGTGGATGTGATCACGAGTCTCTACCTTGTTAGCGTGATAATGCATGAAATTTGATATGCATGTAATAAATGTGATTATAGACAATTTATCTTATATAAATTTAATACTATCATTGAAGGATATAATATGCCGAAGCATATATCATGAGAATGAGTAAATACGTGTTTTACCTTTTTTTTCCCCTGACCAATGCTTTGTCTCATTGAGTTTTTCTGGTAAGATAACTTTTGTAGTGTACTTAAAAAAACAATGTACAATTTTTCTTTCATTATAATTTTTTTCAATGGATTTTTCTAATAAGATTTTATCGAGACATATTCTTTACGTAATAAATGTCCATAACCAAAATAACATAAACCCTCAAAATAATATTCTGATATATATGAAACTCCCGAACAGATCAACAAAAGCTATTTTTTGAATCATGATGTTACTACAGTCATCAAGTGTTCTCTTACTGAATTTTTTGACAAGTTTTAACGAGACATATATTTTATAATGTGTCATTCTCAGGGAAGTGTTGTAAATGGTAAGTTTATTAGTGAATGAAAATTGTATCCTTCCAATCCTATAAATTATTACTATTGTATCTCAAATCATTATCTATAAATATGAGACTTTGATACTCAATAAAGCACACAAGTTTAACGGTCTAAGTCTTGGACACTTTACATAGGGACTTAGATTTCTAACAAGGGTTATTAGACTAGATGAAGTCTGGAAGAATGTATTTTATTGAAAGAGTGTACGTTTGAAAATCAGTTTGGAAAAAAAATGATCTTAAAAAAAGTAGGGTTCAAAAGGGGCTTATTTTGTTCATTCCTAGGCATCAAACATATCTAATAGCATTCCAATCTTCCTCAAAAAGCCACCTTTCACATCTAAAATAAAAAACTTGTGATACAAGTTATTCCATCTCCTCACATGCATGGCACAGGCTTTTCATCCAGTATGGAAAAGTGAACCTTCCCAACCCAAAGATGAAATGCAGGGTTTGCATGACACTTATGTCAAATCATGTAAAAACTGATTAATCTTTTTTATACGCGAGTCACATCAAATTCCTGAAAAAACATGCACTTTGAAAATTTTGAGTTCAAAAAGTCAAGTCAGGTACGCGTCAGCTTACAGTCCATGAAAACTAATGCTGGAACTTGTTCTGCGTGTGTGTCTGTAGAACGCGTATTTGAAGCTGCATGCATGACAAAGAAGCCCTAGCTGTTTTCTGCAAAACCTAATTCTATGTTAAATTTGTACATTGCGTAGAAAATATGTATGTTTTTATTAAATTATTCTCACACAAGAGTTTCTCTCTCTCTCTCTCTCTCTCAAAATCCTGGAAGCTGCTTCCAGATAAGAATCCTATGTTCTCTTTCTTTATGCATTCTATTTTAAATTTGTACAGATGCAGATATATTGTAAAATATTAAATATATATGTTTCCACGAAGAGTCTATATATTATTTTGTTATAGCAATTAATTAATATAAGCCCATGTGAGTAAATGACTTGACAGCTCATGAGAGGCCAGAATTTCAAATTTTACCGAAGATTTAATTTACTTGTGGTGTAAGTCAAGAACTCTAAAAATGGACATTTATAGTTTATTATATATCCAGTCTATTTATTGATGCTATGTAATATGTTGACTGCATGTGTTGGGTTTTGAAAAACTTGACATTTCTCAGCAGTGCACATGACCATTTGGTCCATCTTCACCAATTACTATTAATTAATAGGTAAAAACTTACTTTATTAAAACATATTTACATAAATATATATGATATTTTATGGGAATATTGATTTGATCAGAATTTTCATAAATGTATCTGCTATCAACAAAGATATCGATATAGGGGGTGTTTGATGCACATTATTGAGAATAAAATGCTACTATGATGTGATGTGATGTGATGGAAAATATGTGGTTAGAAAATAGGGAAATTTTTTGAATTTGCTCGTAATATCATTTTATCCAAGAATGTGTTGTTGAAAATGAGTTTTGAAAGAATGAGTTTTGGTAATAATGTGTATCAAACAGGGGCATAGTTTTTTAGTTGCAAATTTTGTTAATTGAGCGTTTGAGCAAGTTCAATTATGGAAAATGTATTTCAGTCCTTCACATAGGATATTTAAAGTATTACAGGAAGATTCATGTTCTATTAATTTGTAATTCAATTTTTGACAAAAACTTAACATGTTGCTGATTTGTTAACATTAAGGCCCAACCCTATTTGTTTCAGAATAAAATTAGATTTTAATCTAAATCAAAATCAAACAATCAATATGAACCACATATTTCCCGCGTCCCACAATTTTTTAACCACACATTTAAAAAACTTCTATCACAATCTACTAAAAATTTAATTTTAAGTCTTACCAAACACCCACTAAGTCATTAACACATAATAACAGTGGTTAAAATTTAATTTCTGTAACTATGATTTCAAATTGGAAATAATTTATTACTCCAAGAAAGATTCATGTATGACCTCAAGAAAGAACACAAAATAATTAAAAAGAGTTTATAATTAAAATGCCAAGTTAAAAAGAATTATTGCTTTGCTGTAACACCATTAAGAGCTTGTTTAAGAGGCAGCCAATTCAAACTTGCTTAAAAAGAGGGTTTACCATTGTTATTGGAAGAAAAATTAAGACTTCTGTTTTTTATTTCATTATAAAAACTACATTAATATATCTGTCATCCAACATGCTACATGTAGACATACAAATTCCTTGACTAGATGGATCTTCTCATCAGATCAAGGCACCCCTTTACCCTCACCCCACCTACCATCTATAAATATATCAAACCCCAGAATTTCTAGCAATATCACTACAACTTGTATTCTCTCCTCAACTCACAAAACGAATATCCAAAAATTTCGTTGAAATGGTTGGTCCGAAAACTTTCCGAAAAGTCAATCATAGGTTTTTCTGCCCATAAATATTGTCAACCATTTTCGAGATAATAAACCAGTGGTTTTTGTTTCCCATCAAGATATTTGATCGTATTCTAAAAGTGGTGTGAAGATCAAGACTGTCTAAATTTAATCAAGAAGTCTTCTTAATTCTTGCAGCTTTCCACGAATGGTGAAAAGTACACAAATCAAGATCCAATCAGGCACAGAAAAAGCCAAAAGTACAACTCCATTATCATCTTCTTCATGCAAAAAGAAGTACAAGGGAGTTAGAATGAGAAGTTGGGGATCATGGGTTTCTGAAATTAGGGCTCCTAATCAAAAGACAAGAATTTGGTTAGGCTCTTATTCTACCCCAGAAGCAGCTGCTAGAGCATATGATGCTGCCCTATTGTGCCTTAAAGGTTCCTCAGCCAACCTTAATTTCCCTCTTTCTTCATTACAAGAAAACCTTAATCCTAATACCTTAATATCCACAAAATCCATTCAAAAAATTGCAGCAGCTGCAGCTGCATCAGATAATTCTAACTTTCTTGAAAAACCCACAAATTTAAACACTCCATCACCACTTGATTCGCTTCCCTCCACGTCATCGTCACCATTGTTATCATTTCCAAGTTGCAGTCACATTGAAGAAGAAGATCATGTTTCTTTGGGATCTTCTTTTGATGCTCAGTGGTACAACTTTGATTCACCAAAGTACAATGATATGCTCAATGGGGAGTTTTTTGATCCATTGATGATTCAAGATTCAAATGAAGATAGTTATGATATTCGCTTATGGAGCTTCTACTGATCAAGAAAATCAGGAATTCATAATCAAATTTATTTCTTTATTTATTCAATGGTACGATTAATTATTTCTTAAGACATTACTGACAGTGACAAGAAATTTCTTTAGTACTGTGTAAGTGTAATTCCATTTATCAGGAAATTAATTTAAGGATTCATGGAGAGAAAAATATTTCCTACACTCTTCCGTGTGATTTCTCATATGTTGAATCAAAAATAATTTTTTTTTTCCCAATTGTTCAATGAATATTCCTCGTAACTTAGTCATTATATGGTTAGTCATTATATGGAAAAGTGTTTGAAACGTTGATAAAAAATTAAAATCAAATCAACAATTAATTTTAATCACATATTTTATTAGAATCACAATTTTATCAACATTTTAAGAACACATTTCATTAATTTTTTTTATCAAAATCTGTTAAAATTCTAATTTATTGAGCCTTGAAAAGAAATAAAAAAAAATTGGTCGAGGTTCTTTCACTTCCCCCTTTTCGAAAAAGCTCTAAGTTTTCATTCAACTAAAAATATTATTTTATCCCTGAGATAATAGTTCATCACTGAGAAAAATATGATATCACCAATGGACTTCATAATATTATCAATTATGGAAAGGATGCTATTTTGAAGTCACCTATTGACTAATTATCAACTTCACTATGAAAGTAGCTATCGAAATCGTCAACAATACTATCATCAACTCTTTTATATGTGACGAACCATTGGAGTCGATGCTTATCCATCAATGAAATATCCACTTGTGATACTAATTACAACGATCCAGTTCTCCAACGTCATTCACATTCTTGTTGAGACACGATCCAAAATCTTAAATTTCATTATCTCAACTCACTTAAGACTATAGTTAATTAATAACTTTGCTATATGATAACAAAATTTTGAAACCCTATTCAACTATGGTTTAGAAGTCCTTTATCTGTTTTCAATTCTTTTCATCAAAAACATTTCAACTATCTAAATCAGATTTAGGATGAATTTATATTAATTTATTGTCTTTGTTACATAGTTTTTAGCAAATACGACTAATGTGAGTAACTTTTCCTCTTAGAAATAAAATCAAATGAAGCAACAAACTTTAAATCATATATTCCATTCGACTCGCAATCTTAATTCGAGAAGTCATCTGTACGTTTAAGCTTTTAACCTTTAGAGATGTTCAAAACTCATCAATAATTAAGACCGACATATTTAACAAGAATTTTACTTATCTAGCCAGATTGATGGACGAGACGAAATAATGAAAGCAAATTCTATTTAAATTTTAGAACAATTTTGCAGATGGATTTGTCCTCTTGTAAAGTGTATAGGTACATGCTCATTTGTCTCTATTATACATTGTTCCTGGTCTTTCAAGAAAATATTGTAGGGGATTGTCACAAGATTGAAGATTTGGATTTGATAAATCTATTGCTACACATTGAATTGAATGTTTGTCCTATTACTTTTTTGAGAAAATTGGGAAAGAAAAGCCACTTAGAGAAAATAAAATAAAATATTTTGGCGTCTTGCGAACATGGCACTGCCCATCTGGGGATTATTATTTCAATTTCATTAGAAAACATATCATGTGATCTTAAAGCATCAATTCATCAAAAATTTCGTTTTATTTCTAGAATGGTATGTGAGACATTAGATCCAAGATTTTGTTTTACCTTTTTTCGATTTGTTTTAAATAAGATGGTGAATTTTGAATAATTGTTAAGAATAAAACTGAACCAAGGTAAACTGGTGCAACCCAAAGACTTTCACTTAAAAGTTATGCTATCTTCCCCATTCATCACTTTCGTTCAATCTGATTGTAAAATGTAATTGAATAAAGCCAATTGAATAGGCTAAAAAACAGATAAGGTACACACAGACTGACTTGGCAGTGTATGTATGGATTTTTTATTTTTCAAAATGTTCAATCATGTATAGACACGCGTCCTTTCTGTTTTTGAGCCTTCCGTTGAACCTGTTTGTGTAGCATAATTAAATCTAATTTATACTAAACCAATAATATCACCTCAATTCAAAACCTTAGAACTCAATGATTTTCACAAAATTAGATAGATATAGAAACTTACCTAGATCCATAGATTCCCTCTTAATAGTTCTTTTGCCGGGAGCATTTGAAGATCAATCGAGCAGAGAAATTGACTGATGTAAAAGCATTTGTTAATCAATTAACCAAGAAAATTGATTGGAATAGAAATCTGATTTTCTCTCTCTTAACCCTCTTAATTAATACACGTAATTCCTAACCAATAGAATTTTATCTTTTTAAATAATTGTATTAAATAATAAAATATTACATTCTCCCACTTGCCCTTAGGGCAATTTCTTCATCACTATAATTTGGCATTGTTCGTGTACTAACAATTGCTCTTTACTTAACATTAGCTATAAATAAGAGGCATAATAGTTGGAAAATAAATAATTAAAGTTTTAAATTTTCAAATTAATACCTTTTTAATTTATTGTTTCTATTTTAATTTCAATTTAATACAAAAATAAATTAATAATATTATATTGTAACATACATTTTAATTGATTTAATTCTCATAAGTGTGGGGATTGAATTTGTTCGTAGGAGTGATTTCATTGTTTGAAACATAATATGAAGACACAACTTGAAAGAATATCTTATATACATTTTATATTGTATTATTGGCAACTCATTAAACATTCGTTCTTTATCTTCCTATAAATGTGTCCATAGAAGGAGGATCGGCTATGAGCCACATATGTTTTATTTAAGAGCCGTGTATTGTCTAAAAGTACAAGCACGAAGTGGATGCAACACGACTTTAGGATAGCGTCCTTAATGTGACTCTTTAAAGCTTGCTTTTCTAACTCTTAAATTATTTTTGAATTATTAGGTTTATGTTATTGTTGAATTGTATTTATTATTATATTATGTTTATTGATGATTAATCTACACACAAATCACCCTTTTTTTTTTTCTAACAATCTAAACTCGTGTTGGGTGATTTGTATGTAGACAATGCTTCGTTTTTGTATGACATAATATTTCATAACTTATAATTCTACTGGCATTATTTTAGATATTAGTTTTGTGCACATTGTATGAACTGCTTTTGCGCTACTTTATCATGGACACTTGGGCCTATGAAATATTAGTTCTTTCAAACTAAGTTACGCTATGGAAAGCTTAGGAGCTTCAACATCAAGATGATTGAAGATTTTGGTAATGAGCACATAATTCTTTTCAACGAAGTGCAGGCATATCGGTAAATTTTCTATCTACGGGGAATTATTTGTTGTCAACGACTAGGTAAATAATTGATCATGCTGGCTAGTGATATTTTAAAATTACGTACGTGCATACATGTGGAAATAGAAACTCATTGAACATATCATGCTAAAATTTAATTGCTATCCATTTCAAATATTATTTAATTTAAACCAACTAGTAATAAAAAATTATGAGTCAAT